TGTCTTCTCACCTGAGTGTGTCATGACTGGATGATGGAATATTCCTGATACAGGAATGTTATAAAGTCAGTGACCAGGACTGAGGCCAAGTAAACTCATAATCACATAAATGTGATCAGAGTCCAGTCTCTGTACGTGTCTTTAAACTCCTCCCCCTCCATAAACGAGTCAGACTGGAAAACTTTACAGTTTCTTCAGCTCTAAAGTTGAACAGTTGTTCAGTCACTGTCAACAGGTGAGATGGCGCAGAGAAGAAGTCACTTTCAGAGAGAAACAATATGTTGTTCCATCTGTCTGGATCTACTCAGGAACCCAGTGACGACACAGTGTGGACACAACTACTGCATGGACTGTATTAAAGCCCACTGGGACAAAGAGAAAGAGAAGTACATCTACAGCTGTCCTCAGTGTAGAAAGACCTTCAGACGGAGGCCTGACCTGGAGAAGAACATTATTCTGACAGATCTAGTGGAGGAGCTGAAGAAGACCAGACTCCAAGCTGCTCCTGCTGATCACTGCTATGCTGGAGCTGAAGACGTGGCCTGTGATGTCTGCACTGGGAGGAAACTGAAATCTGTCAAGTCCTGTTTGGTTTGTTTGGCCTCTTACTGTGAAGAACACCTCCAGCCTCATTATCAATCACCTCCATTAAAGAAACACAAGCTGGTGGAGCCCTCCAAGAACCTCCAGGAGAACATCTGCTCTGTTCATGATGAGGTGATGAAGATGTTCTGTCGCACCGATCAGCAGTGTATCTGTTATCTCTGCTCTGTGGATCAACATAAGGGTCACGACACAGTGACAGCTGCAGCAGAGAGGACACAGAGACAGAGAGAGGTGGAGCTGAGTCTACAAGAAATCCAGCAGAGAGTCCAGGACAGAGAGAAAGATCTGAAGGAGCTTCAACAGGAGGTGGAGGCTGTCAATGTCTCTGCTGATAAAGCAGTGGAGGACAGTGGGGAGATCTTCACTGAGATGATCCGTCTCCTGGAGAAAAGATCTTCTGATGTGAAGCAGCAGATCAGATCCACGCAGGAAAGAGAAGTCCGTGAGGTCAGAGATGTTGAGGTGAAGCTGCAGCAGGAGATCACTGAGCTGAAGCGGAAAGAGGCTGAACTGAAGCAGCTCTCACACACACAGGATCACAACCAGTTTCTCCTCAACTGTCCCTCACTGTCAGCACTCAGACCATCTCCACACTCATCCAGCATCAACGTCCGTCCTCTGAGACACTTTGAGGACGTGACAGAGGCCGTGTCAAAGGTCAGAGGTCGACTACAGGACCTTCTGACTGACACCTGGACTGAGATCTCAAAGGCACCGGGACCAGAACCACAGACCAGAGCTGAGTTCTTACAATATTCTCAGGAAATCAAACTGGATCCAAACACAGCACACAGTCATCTGTTATTATCTGAGGGAAACAGAAAAGTAACAGTGATGAG